AAGCTGGTGATCCATTTACTTTTTGAGTTTTAAAACATATGTATGTATTATTTCTATCTTATATGTACCTACTGTAATTTAAACAATTAAAGTAAAAATGTTATAGAGTAAGATAAACATCTATATCTTCATAACATATAGTGTCCAAGATTTATAATTTGTTCAATAAATTTTAATAACCCTGTATGGTAAATTTAAAATGACATGATAATGTGGTACTATTTTAGTAATTAAAAAATATATCTTTATTTATGCATGTACATAATGTAATATGTGAGATATACATATCACAAAAAATGAAGAGAGAGTTGAAATGTGAACATGAAGATCATAGATAGGCTATATTTGGGGTGTAGGACAATTACAGGTAAATTTAACTTTCTAATATTTCTATTTTTAATTGTTTTCACTGTGCATGTATGATCCTTATAATGCATGAGGGGAAAATAAGTTTCAATAAGAGACTGGTATAGAGGATGGATCAGGATCAGAGACTGGGGACTGGAATGAGAATGATTTGTAGAGCTTTTGCCATATGTTACAACTTTGAATTATCTGATTCTCAAGCTATATCCAAAGTTCAGGTGGAAAAAAATACTTATGGAGGAAATACATTTTATCCTTTTTTGTAGTTTTTTCAATGCAACAAACCAGACCATCTGGAAACTGTGCTCAGATAGAGGTTTTACCCTGAGAATGTCATTCACTGAGTTCTGCTTTGGCATATGTCTTTGGCCTACTCAGAGGAATGCTAAGCAAACACCTATGGGAAATCTTCTTTTGCATTTATGACACTGTGGTTGAGGACACTGTCCTCTTAATTGCCCATACAAAGAATTTCTTGAAACTCAAATATCAGAAATTCCTAAGCCCTTAAGGAATGTGTATATATTGTTTATACAGTGTAAACAAATTTACTGATTTTATTTCCTTTTTTGTTTGTTCACTAAGAGGCTCAGAGACATATTTGAAGCTTAACTTTCATAAATGATTGGGACTCTTTGACCTGAATGTCCATGTTATAACTTCACTCCCATCTTGTTTCTATTTTCTCCCTTTCTATTTTTTCCAGTTTTAATTTTTCATTCATTTATATTTGTCTACTTTATTGTATGGATTGTTATGTGTCTTCTATAATTCAAAAGAAAACCAATTAGATAATAGAAAAAATGGAAACTGTTCATTCAAAAGTGAAAAATGAAGCTGTGGGTTTGAATGAGATCACTTAGAAATAGAGAATAAAGTAAGGACAAAATCAGGTCCAGGATTTGGTATTGTGGAACCTATGCATTTAATTACTACATAGAGGCAGAGAATTAGAAATAATTCTAATTATTGAGAATTAATAATGCCATGGAAGAGAGGCTGAGGGGGTAGGAGGTGATCAGGACAGTTGGAAGCCAAGAGGCAATAGCCACCTGTGAGGAATACTACTAAAAGGTCAAGGAAGTCGAGGATTAAAATGCTCACTGGATTTCTCAATAAGGCTCTTTGGGTAGAGTGTTGGGAAAAGAGTTCAGATTTGAATTTCTTGAGAAGCAAATAACAGGTGAAAAATGGAGAAACAGAATATAAGCAATCCATAATTTAATGTTTGTCAGACACTTTTATTTCTTCTTTTGTGAATTGTTTGTTACTTTTGTTCTTTTTATATGAGATATATATTTTTTTATTAGTGTGTAAGAATATGTTATATATTCAGCATTTTTTACACTGTGTCTGTTAAATATGATATAAACTCCTTTTTCTCCCCGTGTTGTTAATGTAACATTGATATCAACTGGAGTTCTGCTAGTTATCTAAGAGGCACTTCTGATTTCACCTTTGTGATAATTTTATGTTTCATTCATTCAATTAATACACATTTATTGCTTTCATTATGTACTCAGGATTAATTTTATAAGAATTTTCACTTGAATTTGAATTTGTTTGATAGTTTTAATCGAACTTTCACAGCACACTACAGCAGTAATTTTAGTGACTGCAAATGGGGTATTTTAAAATCCTTGAATAAGAACTACAAATTGTAAAAGGAGCTAAAGATTCATAAAAATTTTTCTAAAAGTAATCTTTTCCAAAGCATAGTTTTAGTTACTATTTTGCAAAGAATGCAAATGTAAACCAGTTTATCTTGGGCTAAGCTCATGCAGTTTATCATCTGGGCTAAATAATGAGTCAAGTCTTATTGTAATAAAGAATGTAACTGCATGGGCAGTGCTCTCCCTAAAGTAGAGAGGAATGAGGAGATTGGCTCAGGCACTAGAATTAAAGACTGATAAAGATGTTTTTTAAAAAAAAATTACCGAAGTATTTATAACCATAATATTTAAAGCAATGGTAAAATTTACCACAATACATTTAGATAATTTGTTACCACATTCAGGCCTTATGATTTTTTATGACTATATATTTTTATCTGTCCATAATAAGCTTCAAAAGAAATAGAGGTTCTATGAATACTTTGCATAACAGCTTTATGAGAAGCAAATTTTTTAAAGTATAGCATATAAGATAACTTTTTATCTATTTGGCTAAAAATATAACTTACTTCAGTTAGATTAAATATTTATTTTACTCATTATTTATGTCAGGTGTCCCTGGGTTTGAAGAATATAAAGTATTTTTTGCTGTGTTTGTTAATGCTTTTGAATTATTAAATAAAACATATTAAATTACTTCCTTAAGGTTTCCAGGTAAAAAACAGTGACTGTCACTTAAAAAATTCTTTAAATATTTTAATCAATACTGGACCCTATGCCCTGAAATTGTCCCTTACCATATGTTAATAAACCTTCCTAGAGTTTCTAACTTAACTTCAAAAATGTGCTTAGAAAATGAAAGAAAATATTTTCTATTTTCTAATATCCCTGTATGTCAAGTGGGATATGCCATACATTTTAAAAAAGATAATATTTCTATTATAAACTGTTCTATTAATTTTCTAACACCTGCATTCTTAATTAAAACATAGGTAATATATATGTAAGATGTGTTATATATAAAGTAGAGCAAGATTAGAGGCAATTTCACTTGTTCTCCAACTTGGGGCTAATTTTATTGCTTTTTGTACTCACCTCTGTCCCTACAAAAATGAAGGGGTGAGATACTTGTGGAAAATCAGAGATAAAGGGGAAAGGAAGATTGGCAGTTTCAGAGGCTTTTTTTTTTTTTTTTTTTTTTCCCCGATACGCGGGCCTCTCACTGTTGTGACCTCTCCTGTTGCGGAGCACAGGCTCCGGACGCGCAGGCTCAGCGGCCATGGCTCACGGGTCTAGCCGCTCCGCGGCATGTGGGATCTTCCCGGACCGGGGCACAAACTCGTATCCCCTGCATGGGCAGGCGGACTCGCAACCACTGCGCCCCCAGGGAAGCCCTCAGAGGCTTTTAAAATGTGGTTTTGTGCTTACTTATCCTAGTTAGTGGCAACTAACCACTGCTCCTTCAATATAACCCCCTGGGCGTGGCATTTGAAAATTGTTTCTAAAGCTTTATGTCATCAAGACCTCTATGATCACTATTTCAAAATAGTAAACACAGAGGATGGACTTACGGAAAAAAAAAGTAGTGTTTTCTTATTTTTTCTCATAATGGTGGCTTAATGTAGTAAGGATTAATATTAAGCCTCATTTTACTTTGAACAAGTTTAATATAGAAAAAAAGTGTTTTTTTTTATTTTCACAGATGAGGACATAGTTACTTGAAGTTAAAGTGACTTCAATCCCCTCCGCCGGCCTCCATGCATCCCCCTTGCAAGCTGCCAATCATAAAATGAAGACTAAAATCAACTGGTGTGTTTCTTCTTTAGCATAACATTGAATTAAAATGTAACTATCAGTAACAGGTAGAGGTTTACCATCGTGTTAACACAGTATGCATAGTCCATGATGTTCAATATGAGAAAGAAAAAAAAACACACAGAAATTTCATAAACTGGAACCTGAGGACAACTGTTGGAGGTCTCTCCAGCTTCTTAAAATTGCTTGAGAATCTCAGAATCCCCACTGTAGATGGGGGGACATTCTAAAAGATTATCTTCAACAGTTATAAAGCGGTGTGCCTCATTTCTTTTCTTTTTTTTTTTTTTTTGCGGTACGCGGGCCTCTCACTGTTGTGGCCTCTCCTGTTGCGGAGCACAGGTTCCGAACGCGCAGGCTCAGTGGCCATGGCTCGCGGGCCCAGCCGCTCTGAGGCATGCGGGATCTTCCCGAACTGGGGCACGAACCCGTGTCCCCTACATCGGCAGGCGGACTCTCAACCACTGCGCCACCAGGGAAGCCTCATTTCTTAACCACTTATTCTTTGGGCTTTTTGTTGCCCATCATCTGAATGATTTGGATGCCATCTTCCCGACACAGGGTTTACCCATCTCATGGCCTTCACAGATTACTGAAAGTGAAATCTACCTGAAACACTGTGGAAACTGCTAGCTGACGGCAATCATTTGGAAGGAGCTTATTGCCTCTGATGGATCCTCCATAAGTGGGAGACCGAACCAGTGTTGGCCTTGGGGCAAGGATGGGGAAGGGGATGGACCAACAAACCAGAGGGAGGAGAAGGGTAACTTATCATTCATTTCTCTAACAGAATAACGACTGACAGAAGGAAAGCCAAAAAGTACATTTTACAGATAACATAATTTTTGTGGCAATTGCTTGAAGCCATCTGACAAAATGTGCGAGTACTAAGCGTTTCTAGCTGAGTTTGTCCTACTTGGAATGACAGATTTTCCCCATCTCTCTCATTCACCTTCTTCAGTCCTTCTAGATGCCCTTAATGGGGATCAGGGGGATTAGGGTGGGAGTGGGGAGGCCATAGAAGCAGAAACCAGTTCAGCCATTAGAAGACTACAAATGGGTTAGTGACCTCCTTTCTTCAATAACTTTTAACTGGTCCCTTTCCTTTTATCAAACCCATTTTGTCACCATTTCCTTTGTAACCTTATCCCACCGCCCAGCTCCTCTCTCCCTCCCCCTCTTCCTCCCTCCCTGTCTTCTCCTCACCTGTCCACTGCAATGGCCGTCATAGAGTAGATGCTGGCGAACACCGCTGTGATAGGAAAGAAGTTCTGGAAGCGACAGTAGTTGGCGCCGAAGTACCACTCGCTGTGAAGCGCATAGATGAAGTTGACCAAGGTGTTGAAGGCGGCCATGGAGGCGTCGGAGAAAGCCAAGTTCACGAGGAAGTAGTTGGTGACAGTCCGCATGCGCTTGTGGGCCAGGATGATCCAGATGACGATGAGATTCCCGAAGACCGCCACGGCCACCACCACGCCGTATGCTAGGGACCAGAGCGCAATGCGCCAAGACGGCTGCACGAACTGGTTGGTGAGGTTGGCCCGGAACTGCGAAGGCGCCGCGGAGGCCGCGGCCAGTCCCAGCGTGGAGGAGGAAGCGGAAAGATTGCCGGCTTGGGCTAGCAGTTGCAGCCACTCGGTGTCAGCCTCTCCCGCCGCTGCCCCAGCCTCGAGCGCGGCACTCGGGTTCCCGGCGTCCGCACCCGCTGTTCCCCCGTCCGTCCAGTTCGCGGCTACGGGGAGCGAGGCCATAGCGATGGGTCGGCAACCCGGTTCCCCTCACTCAACCACTGCCCGCCCGGGCAGTCTCCCTCGAAGTTCTTCTCTGCTTCCCGGTAGCTTTGCTGCTCAGTGGACCTCAGCCCCGCCCGAAAGCGGGGTAGAAAGGTACCCACAGCCCTTTCTGGTTAAGGGATGCTTTGAACCTGCAGGTGATGGGGAGAAGGGAGGCACTTTCCCCGAGGAGTCTGCGAACCTAGCAGGCAGGCAGGATGAGACAGTCGGAAAAAGAGATGCTAAGGGCTGTCGCCCGCGGAGAACTCCGGGGTCGCCCCTGCGCGAGTTCCCGGGCACCGGCTGGAGCGCTGAGGATCGGGGGCTGCTGCGAGCTTTATAGTTTGTTATAGTGCCCTACTTCCGTGACGTTGTGCGGAACTGACGAGCCCCTTCTTGGAATAAGATTGCCCTCCTTTCCTCCACCCCCGCCCTTTGGGTTTCATTCATTCGCTACTCGGCGGGTTGATACACTGAAGGAAGGGCTGCACTTTCTCATACGTAAAATCGTTACAAGATTGTTTTCCGTCTTTTAACTTCAAGATAGTTTGCTGAGGTCCCTGCTTTCAGACATTTACTGTGGACTATTCTTTTCTAAACCAGTTTAACCATTCACCCGTAAAGCAAAGGCACGATCCCCGGAGATTTTTCAGCTAGGGCTAGAGCATGTGTGGGTGCAGCCTGCTGAGGACTGTGGGCACCTAGAGCCGCGCGCTTTGTTAGGTGCCACTGGTTTTTGGAATTTCACTCAACTTTCTGCTCGTGTGTTTCTATTCTCGCTTCTCAGATCCCGTTTCTTCTCGTTCCCCCTTCCCAAATCCACCCATTTCCCCTCTTCCTCTAATCTCTATCACCAGAAATCTGACCCCTCCTCTCCCCCAGGCAGAGAGAGACTATGGTTTTTCCTGGAAGATTCTGCTCAGGTTGGAATGCCATAAAACAATGAGGGTAAATCAGAGATTCCAAGATGTAGACTTTCTTGAAACACAAGGACAAGACTTGAATTTCTTCATTGCTCTGGGATGAAAGTATCCTGTAAGCAATCTAAATACATACACATGGCTATACGGTTTTGGACATTTGGAGCCTTAGTTTTCAGGGCCTGACCATGAGGACACACTGATGAGGATGCAAGAATAACCTTAATTTCCTGGGCAGACAGGCAGGCCTGACTTCTGAGCTTTGGGTGAGAGCAGGTGAGCTGGAGTGTTCTGTGGAGTGCAAGCTGGAGCCTGTGCTTAGGTGGATCTCACAGACAATTTATCAAGATGTTCTGGGGGGCTTCCCTGGTGGCGCAGTGGTTGAGAGTCTGCCTGCCGATGCAGGGGACACGAATTCGTGCCCCAGTCCGGGAAGATCCCACATGCCGCGGAGCGGCTGGGCCTGTGAGCCATGGCCGCTGAGCCTGCGCGTCCGGAGCCTGTGCTCCGCATCCGGAGAGGCCACAACAGTGAGAGGCCCGCGTACCACAAAAAAAAAAAAAAAAGATGTTCTGGGGCCAGACTGTCTTTTATTAGTCTCTTGAGGGGCAGGTGAGAAGAGATTTAGGGTTACACGTATTTTAGCAATCCCCCCAAAACACTTGAACTCTTTCCCCCCTCCCCACTTGAACTCTTTGAGCTTTGATTTCCTCACTTGAAAATGAAGATTTTTTTAAAAATCTAATTTTCAGGGTAATGATGGGAATGAGTAGTTTCAACAGCCTTTTGACAACACCAGACAGGAGGGAGACCTCAATAAATGTTAGTGCCCTTCTCTCTTGTTACAATGTGCATTTCATCTAAACATTTTCAGGTAAGATGTATTGGAGAGCAACTTTTATTTGCTTCAAGAGAAAGTAGCTTGTGATTTCTGAACACTGTATTCTTTAGTTTCCCAGTTAAGTACCTATTCTTTAAAAACCCGGATTATTGCATAAGTGGACTTAGGGTGATTGGTAATGAATAATAGTTTCCTTCTTATAGTTCTTATGACAAAAAGGTAGTGTACATAAGTAAGTTTGAGGCAACCTGATAATAATTCTGTGGACACAACCCTACTTCAAAATAAATGCATGCTGAAAATGATAATTATCAAAGGTTATTTGCTATTTCTTCCCAGAAAGACCTGCAAAAACATGTGATAAATCATAAGTTAACAGACTCCACACTTCCTGCTTATTAATTCTAAATTAAATCATTTTCTTTTGAAAGGCAAATTACTTCTTTCTGTTAATTCACCATCTTGGGGAATTACTTGAATTACAAGTGAAAGCCTCTTTCTTCCCTAATGAAATCAATGGATAATTGTTAAAAAAAAAATTCCTTTGTATGAAACACACCATTTATCAAGATTAGGAAATGGGTCATGATGTGGTTTGGTAATTATGCATATTTTGATCAAATATTTACAGTTGTAAAATTAGTGGTGTGGAAATCTGTTCAGTTTACACTGCTGTTTTACTTATCCATACAGAGCATTATAAGTTGTGATTTGTCCTCATTGGACTTAAACATGAGTAGAAGATATGACAAAAATTGATTGGTGATAGAATTAGAAGAAGTTACAATGAAAGGCATTTAAAGAGTTGTTTTCTTTCAGAGGAAGAGAGGGATCCAGCTCATGGCTTTACTTTTAGATCTGCCTTACGTAGAGAGACTTTCCCTGTGTCCCAGTAGAGTAGTTACTGTTCATGCGTTGCTTCAGTCATTCCTTCAATGTGTATTGAGTGTACTTCCTTCCAAATCTGTACCAAATACTAGGGATGTAGCAATGAGACAACCAGATACAAACCCTGTCCTCATGGAGCCTGTAGTCTAGTAGTGTTTTTGACATTAAAGCAAGTGTTAAGGGTAGTAGAATAGGAAGATGCAGAGAAAAATGGGAGTACGTAACTAAGTAGGAGGATGTGTGCCTACTGGATTCTGTTAACTTCGCTTAAAACATAAAATGAAGTGCCAAAAAGAAAGATAGACTTAGCAGAAACTTATGCCTTGAAAAACAGGAAGGTTTAGGAGATAATGGTTAAGGAGGAAGTTTCCCAACTAAGAATTTGGCGAATAATCTGGCCATAGTAGCTCTGGAATCTGAATCTTGCTCTTATCTGAGCCTACTCTTCTTTTTTCCTAATTCTTTCTCATCCTCTTTCACTTACCGTAAGAACTCCAAAAGCCTTAGCCTTGGACCACTGAGGAAAGGAGCAGGGAGGTTGAGAAAACGTTAACCCACTAGAAGGTAACTTAGAGAGAATCCTATACTCCCACATTTAAAACCTGGGAGTGTGTGTGAGTATGCACCTATGCAAATGTATGAGGATCCTGGAAAATAAGCCAAGCATGGTATCCTAGGAGACATTAATAGGTTTTAGATAATAGTGTGTAAATCTTGGTTTGACTGAATAATTGTAATACAAATTATGATCATTTATGTGAGTGCTTGCAGTTTATTCCTAATGACCAAGAAATGTTTGCCTATTTTATTATGCATAATAGATTACATTTCTTCCAAATGTTATTTACTCTCCATATTTTTGCTTAGAATACATACTGGTGATGTGCCCCAGTAATTTACTACAATTTATATTAATACATTGGATGCTGGTCATATATTAATTATTTTTTCCTCTTTTACAACTCAAGGAAACGATATGGCATATTTCATGCTTGTATTTTTATTTTAACAGGCCTCCTAAAAATAAACATATCAGGGTAGAATTTCAGGTAGTGTTGCTGGCTAGTGAAAGAGTTATTTTCAGAAAGAAAAAGTCAAATTTCCAGATTTCTGTCTCTGACAATAATCTTCCATGTGACAGTTCTCCCACACTTTTAGCTTCAGTATGTTCATTGTTTCCCACTACGTTGAGATATTTTTTTTCTTTTTACCAATGTCAGATCCTGATAGTCCACTCTTTGCTGCTTGCTTTATTTTTTACCTTTATTATTTCATCGTACCTGCTTTGCAGTTACACTGGGTCATTTCCACCCTCTGAGTTATGGACTCCAACAATCAGGCTGCTGAGTATTGCTGACAATCAACAATTGATCATCTCCACTTAATTGTGTAGACAGCTACTTAGCAATTCTCGCTGTCTACCAGACCCTCTTTCCATGTAGGCCTGTGATCGGTTCTCAGCTGTTCTGCAATTCTCTTTCTTCTCCATCTTCCTCTCTATGCTCAGCAAATGATGTTATTTACAGTTTATCTGATAAAAGTAAGACCACCAGCCAAGAACTTCACATTTCTGTGCATTTCATCCATCTTTAAGTCATTTATTATTATCTCTGTGAAAGGTCCTTGCTGGGTACAGTAATATTGATTGTAGGCTTTTCCCTTTCATCACTTTAAATATCCTGCCACTCCCTTCTGGCTTGCAGAGTTTCTGCTGAAAGATCAGCTGTTAACCTTATGGGGATTCCCTTGTATGTTATTTGTTGCTTTTCCCTTGCTGCTTTTAATAGTTTTTCTTTGTATTTAATTTTTGATGGTTTGAATAATGTGTGTCTTGGCATGTTTCTCCTTCAATTTATCCTGTATGGGACTCTCTGCACTTCCTGGACTTGATTGACTATTTCCTTTTCCATATTAGAGAAGTTTCCAACTGTAATCTCTTCATATATTTTCTCAGACCCTTTCTTTTTCTCTTCTTCTGAGACCCCTATAATTCGAATGTTGGTGCATTTAATGTTGTCCCAGTGGTCTCTGAGACAGTTTTCAATTCTTTTCAATCCTTTTTCTTTATTCTGCTCTGTGGTAGTTATTGCCACTATTTCATCTTCCAGGTCACTTATCCTTTCTTCTGCCTCTGTTATTCTGCTATTGATTCCTTCCAGAGAATTTTTACTTTCATTTATTGTGGTGTTCATCGTTGTTTGTTTGCTCTCTAGTTCTTCTAGGTCCTTGTTAAATGTTTCCTGTATTTTCTCCATTCTATTTTCAGGATTTTGGATCATCTTTACTATCATTATTCTGAATTCTTTTTCAGGTAACCTGCCTATTTCCTCTTCATTTGTTTGATCTGGTGGGTTTTTACCTTGCTCCTTCATCTGCTGTGTGTTTCTCTGTCTTCTCATTTTGCTTAACTTACTGTGTTTGGGGTCTCCTTTTCATAGGCTGCAGGTTTGTAGTTCCCATTGTTTTTGGTGTCTGCCCCCAGTGGGTATGGTTGGTTCATTGGTTGTGTAGGCTTCCTGGTGGAGGGGACTGGTGCCTGTGTACTGGTGGATGAGGCTGGATCTTGTTTTTCTGGTGGGCAGGACCAAATCCAGTAGTGTATTTTGGGGTGTCTGTGAACTTATTATGATTTTAGGCTGCCTCTCTGTTAATGGGTGGGTTTGTGTTCCTGTCTTGCTAGTTGTTTGCCATGGGGTTTCCAACACTGGAGCTTGCTGGTCGTTGAGTGGAGCTGGGTCTTAGCATTGAGACAGAGATCTCTGGGAGAGCTCTCAGCAATTGATATTATGAGGGGCCTGGAGGTCTCTGGTGGACCAATGTCCTCAACTCGGCTTTCCCACCTCAGAGTCTCAGGCCTGACCCCTGCCC